TCATTTCTGTTGTTGTTGTTGTTTTGAATGTTCTTAATCCCCAACCAGGGACGGTGCCCACGCCTCCTCTGGTGGATGCCAGCCCACCTGGCCATCTATCTTGGCTGCACCTGGGCTCACCGATGTGATAGGACACTGTTTTGGGGAGGGTCGGGACAGACATTACGATGACCAAGTGTCCCTGGGGGGCTCTAGCCATGAATGCAGGGACAGGTGGCTCGAGGGCCAGGGCCACCGTGGTCGCCTCTCCTGGCGGATCTGTGTAGACAGGTCAGAGAGAGGTATGGCCAGGCCCCCGACATCTGGGGCTTACACGTTGGCAAGGTTGAGGTAGGTTTCAAGGCAGACACATCCTTCTGAGAGTCTCTTACCAGATGCACGACCCTGCAGTTTCTTTTAAATCAGAGGTTCCCACACGTACGGGCCAACTGTCCCCCTTTCAGGAAACAAGCAAACAAACAAATGGAAAAAACTGCCCCTTCCCCCCTCTGGCAACGAAACATGTTTGTACTCTAGCCCGTCACCCAGGAGAAAGGGCAGGGATCTGCTTCTGCAGCCCCCCTCCCCCCCTCCCCAGATTGTTCCAGGAGGCCTGGTGGTTATGCACTGGGCTGCTAACTGCAGGGTCAGCAGTTCGAAACCACCAGCCGCTCTGCAGGAGGAAGGTGAGGCTCTCCTCCTGTCAACAGTGACAGCCTCAGAAACCCACAGGGGCAGTTCGGCCCTGTCCTACAGGGTTGCTGCGAGCTGGCATCCACTCGATGGCAGTGAGTTTGGGAGGTGGGTGGTGGGTGGAGAATGGTTCCAGCACCTCCCATGGGGTGGTGCCACCCACCAGAGGAGTACGTGACCCAAAAGCACGCAGCCTGGCACGTCTGTCACCAGGCCCTCTGTCCTTCTTACCTCGTCCCAAGAAGCCAGGTGTTTCAGGCTTGCTCCGTCTCACAGACACGGCCCCCGAGGACGTCATGGAGAGAACACGTGTGCCCAGGCTCACGGAAGATTGGCATGTGGAACCCAGCCCAGCGGAGCCCAGTCGTTGAATCGGGGCAAGATGTTCGGGGACTAGGAAGGATTCATCCCAGGAGAAGAGCTGGCATTCCGAGTAACGGTGGTTAACAACCCCCCCCCC